TTATTACCGTCCTTGGTGTCATTACTGACCCTAGGGATTTATTACCGTCCTTGGTGTCATTACTGACCCTAGGGATTTATTACCGTCCTTGGTGTCATTACTGACCCTAGGGATTTATTACCGTCCTTGGTGTCATTACTGACCCTAGGGATTTATTACCGTCCTTGGTGTCATTACTGACCCTAGGGATTTATTACCGTCCTTGGTGTCATTACTGACCCTAGGGATTTATTACCGTCCTTGGTGTCATTACTGACCCTAGGGATTTATTACCGTCCTTGGTGTCATTACTGACCCTAGGGATTTATTACCGTCCTTGGTGTCATTACTGACCCTAGGGATTTATTACCGTCCTTGGTGTCATTACTGACCCTAGGGATTTATTACCGTCCTTGGTGTCATTACTGACCCTAGGGATTTATTACCGTCCTTGGTGTCATTACTGACCCTAGGGATTTATTACCGTCCTTGGTGTCATTACTGACCCTAGGGATTTATTACCGTCCTTGGTGTCATTACTGACCCTAGGGATTTATTACCGTCCTTGGTGTCATTACTGACCCTAGGGATTTATTACCGTCCTTGGTGTCATTACTGACCCTAGGGATTTATTACAGTCCTTAGTGTCATTACTGACCCTAGAGATTTATTACTGTCTTTGGTGTCATTACTGACCCTAGGGATTTATTAACGTCCTTGGTGTCATTACTGACTCTAGGGATTTATTACCGTCCTTGGTGTCATTACTGACCCTAGGGATTTATTATCATCCTTGGAGTCATTACTGACCCTAGGGATTTATTACCGTCCTTAGTGTCATTACTGACCCTAGGGATTTATTACCGTCCTTTAAGTTCAACGATTTCAAGTTGTCAGTTGTTATCAATATTAAAGCGTTTTAATTATTTGACTTCAACAACACTATGTTTGTAGTACAGTAATGAAATCGTATATACATTTATAAATCACAGACATAAAAAATGAAATAGTCGATGTATTATTTTTTATCAAAGTAAATAATTAAGAAAGATGTTGTTATTGAAATGATAACGGTTCCTGTGGTGGTCCAACAGATGGGTTCACATATATTATTCCTTTATTTTACAATGGGAACTGGAAAGCGAATCCAGTTAAAAACTTGACCTAAATAAAGCTGACAGCATGCTGCCGAAAAACGGACCTGTATTATTGTTGTTAGTACTTTTGCGTTGAGAATTTCAGGGATGTTATTAAAGGCTTTTAATACTGATTAGGAATTTGAAACGATATGTGTGCTAATATAAACAGGTTTAGTGCGCAGTTGCGCCGATATTTAATGTAAATTTCGCACAAGAGTGCTGTCGTGAACATCTCTGAACAGATTCGATTTCAAGAATGAAAACCCGCCAGTGTACTTCATCCAATCAGATGGAGGATATCGTAGGGTTAAAGGTTACATTGCCAAGCAGGACACTCAGGCAATCAAAATAGTTTTGCTAAACTGCAATAAATATCGGTCCGCATTTTCACTGCTAAAAGACTTTTTTTTATTTCTGCACATCAATGAATTTATCATAAGTTTGGAAATTGGTTTTGTCAAATTTGTTCACTGAACTTGGTAAAAAGATCGTGAAGTAGCCCTTCGTCAAATGTGGTGACGATTGCAAATTTGGAGTTACACAACTATTTCAACTACCGTTTGATATATTTTCAAACATGGTCGCTTATATGTATCAAATGTGGTCGTTTAACGTAATGGGGTGAATAATGGGTGGTTGCTGGTCGCGTTAAACAGATGGTCGCTTGTTATACAGTTAATTTACATAGTAAAAGCTGTCGGGAGGAATGAAAAGTGGTCGCATAAAACAGATGGTCGTTTAATACAGATGGTCGTTTAATACAGATGGTCCCTTGAGTAGATTTGACTGTACTAGGTCATTTAATTTCATAATTTGTCATATAAACAATGAAAATGTTGTGTAAACTTTTGTTTGTCCGGCAATCTTCTCATACATTTTTCGACCGATCTCTTTAAAACTTAGTATGCATTATAATCATGATATGAAGTTGTGTCTCCCTAAAAAGAATTTTGATTCAACAATTTTTGCAAAAGTTATTCCCCTTTGGTCATTTCAGTATTTGATATTTTGTCCGGAGATCTCCTCCTACATTTTTTAACAGATTTCTTTTAAACTTAGTAGGCTAAATAATCATGATATGTTGTTGTGTTTCCCCGAAAAGAATTTTTGATTCGACAATTTTTGCAAAAGTTATTGCTCTTTGTTTATTTCAGTATTTTATTAGGTCACCTGAGACAAAGTCTCAAGTGACCTATTGCGATCGCCTTTTGTCCGTCGTCGTGCGTCGTCCGCCGTGCGTCCGTAAACAATTTACATTTTCGACTTCTCCAAAACCCCTGAGCCAATTTCAATGAAATTTTGCAGAAACCTTCCATGGCCAAAGGTCAACTAAAATTGTGAATTATATGGTCCCCAGTATATCAGGTGACCGTTAAGGCCCATGGGCCTCTTGTTTTTGTCCGGCGATCTTCTCCTACATTTTTCAATCAATCTATTTGATTTAATCATGAAGTCAACTTGTGTTTAATGAGTTGGAGACTAACCTCTGATTACCTGTTTTCCTTAAAATATTGACAAGATCCCAAATTGGTCAGATATGACACTGTCAGAAAAGATTTCTTGTTAGAGAATCCAAATGATACATTTCATTCATATACAGCTGACATGAATGTATAACATGGTTTGTTGTCAGGTTTGACAGCTGGTACACATGCCAATTTGTGCCATTCCTTCTATACAGTTCCCAGATACAATACTAAATTTGTTATACAACTCAATAATAATCTTCTTTTTTTTCAATTAGAATATAGCTTGAGTGAGTCTAGGTCCACAGCTAGATACAAGCAGTAATTATATACAGGAGTTATCTCCCCTGATAATTTATAAATGTTTGAAAGAATAAATAATTTTATATACCAGTAAATCACATTTCAACTGTTTCATTTCTCATATTTTACATTTTACATTTTAATACCAGAATCCCTTGATATATATATAATAAGAAGTTCTAAGGATCAGTTTGCAATGTATTAATTGATGTAAGATCTTGATGGTACTATGTTTTGTGAAAGTACACACTGCTTTTACACTAGAATACAATAGGATAAATAATGGATGCAGGCAGATACTCTGCCTCTATATCCATATCTTATATGTTTATAACATATTTCAGAATAACTTTTCATGGTTGTTCCCTGATATTTCTTTTTGGCCAGCCAAATGATTGTATTTCAGCTCAATATTCCTTGAAGGATTTTGAGTTTCAGGGTTCGAAGGTCAAGGTCACTGCTATTGTTTTTTGAAAATCTTTAAAAGTGCTCAAATGTCTTCATTCCTTGAGGATCGAACTTAAAACATCTTGAAGGACTATAGCATCTAGGATCAATAACAAGGTTACCATTTACTATATTTGGAAGTCATTGTTAGCTATCTATCGACTTCGTCAAACTTCCTTTGGCATCATTTGTTTTGTATTGATCAAAGTTGAATATTGAAGGATCTGTATCACTTGCCATGCCTGAAGTTGTTTTACAACAATAATTGCAATTATGGAACAAGTTATAAACAACAAATAGCACAGAGCAGTTCTCAAGTGTAATGTTATAGAAACTAGAAAATCCAGAGATAGGTTTTCCCATGCCTTTTCACATGAAAGTTAAAAAATTAAATATTAACTTAGTTGTGAAAGGTGAGTGTTGTAGCGTTATAGCATGTCAGCTAACCACTCTTAGAATGATGCAGGTCTTATTTCCATGTAAGAAAGTATATAACACTATATGGCATTCGATGAGCATACATTGTTCCGTCCCTTGATACTCTTGTTTCTGTTGAATCAAAATCTAAGGGTGAACTCTTAACATTATCTTTGATCATATCTGTATACGATTTCTCAATCAGGGAAGTTATATATGAGAAATTAAGAGCGCCTACCTCAGATAAACTTAAGGATTTTTAGGTCACCTGAGACAAAGTCTCAAGTGACCTAGTGCGATCGCCTTTTGTCCGGCGGCGTCCCCAGCCCCCAGGGGCCTGAGGGGCGGGGCCAAAATGACTAAAATTTCAAAAATCTTCTTCTCAAGACCCAGATATGGTAGAATCAAATACTCTTCATAGATGGAAGGGTTTTTAGGTGCTCTACCAAAATTGTGAATTTTATGACCCTAGGGTCTCACGTTTACGTTTACCCCTGGGGAGGGGGGG